TAGAGTGCTCCCTTAATCCTTATGGAATGGCATCCTAAAAGAGTCCTGACCGGATCAGACCAAAGGCCTCTGTTGTCTAGCATCAGCATGATAGGGGTCAATCTGCAGTTCTTGAAATGCCCATGTGATTATGCAACACCTTGCGGTCTCATGTTCTTCCAGGAAGTGCTGCTGAAGGCAATCTTTCCTGCAAAGAAACTATGCAGGGCATGATAAAAGGAGAGAGAGGAAGGAAGGAATAATTTGACCACTTCATATACTTAATAACTCCCTTCTCCCACCCAAACAAATTTTTAATTCATTTCTTAGATTTATGCCTGCTTTTCCTCCAGGAACAAAAGCTAGCCTACATAATAGTCCCTCCTCCAGTTTTTTCCCCCTAAATATCCAATGAGATATGTTAGGCTGAAAGAGAGTGACTAGCCCAAAGTCATCCAAAGAATTTCCATGGCTGAGCATGGAATGACACCAGGGTCTCCCCAATGCTAGTCCAATACCATAACCTCTAGACGGCACTGGTGTACTGTGTAGTTGTTTGGAGCAGGGAATCCTTTGTGTGAAAAGCTGTTCATGCAAAGTTTGCCACATGACATCAGAGTTGTTTGACCTGGGAATTCTGACATCCTGAGGCACCGTTGCTGTTAAATGAACACTATAGCACCACAGGAGGGATTACATTCCCAGGCTCACCAGTTAAAAACAGCCTTCCACGATCAAAGGCACCTCCTGCTGATTCCTCCGGAAGACTTTGAGTGGATTAAATCTTGTTTAATCAATAGATCAGAGCTCACAGCTCTATTAATTACAGACTTCATGCTGAGAAAACAATATGGCCATCTCCATGAAATCATCCAGGAATGAGCTCAACTTGAAGGGAAATTTATCTTAAAACCAATTAAAGCTGAGCCGCATTCGTGAATTTTCAGTTTCCCCAGGCATACGCTGACTTTTCTATGTGTCCTGAAACAGACAGCTGCTCTTTATTGTCCCTCAAATCTCTCAGGTAAAAGAGACATCCCATGGAAACCATGACTGTGTCAAAAACTAAAAAAAAAAGTAGCTTCAATGCAAAGGTGTCTGCAGGGAGAGTCAAGGGAGGCAGATGACAAAAGCAGAATTGTGCCGTGGTGGTGCAAGCTCTGCACCTTTTCTACGTTGTACACACATTTTATTTATTTGTTGAAAAGATGTATATAGCCACCCATCTTGTAGCACGCAACTCTGGTGGCGAACCACACTGATTAAAATGCAAACAATAAAACCATTTTGAAAAGAAAAGAACGAAATGAAATAAAATTAAGAAAAACCAGGCCCCCAACCCATAACGATACCCCTATATTTCTTCAATCCCCGGTTCCAAACTTACTGTCCCAGTGCCTGGAGGAAAAGTCTAATCTTCACCAATTTATGGAAGACTAGGAGGGTGCGGGCCTGTTGGATCCAAAGAGGAAGGTGTGGGGTTTTGATACACATGGGGCTTTGATACATATGAAAGAGCCTAAGGTAGCACCATAGATAGCAATACTATAGATCAGTGTTTCCCAACCTTGGCAACTTTAAGATGAGTGGACTTCAACTCCCAGAATTCTGGGAGTTGAAGTCC